CTGACATATCACGATCTAGAACAATCCTATATATATCAAATTTATTGCACTCAATTTGAAAATTAATTCTAAGGAGTTAATTGTAATTGTTAGCTCCAAACATCTAATTCCTTTTACTATGTTGCCCCCTGTGGCCTTGTTTGTAGGACCAAGTTAAAGATTGGTAATAACAAATATCTTTTTATTGTCTTTCAGCATAATTGTAGAATAGGTTAACTCTTATCTTTTGCTATTTTTACATTGCAGGAAGTATTGTTTTATGTTTTGTTACAATGTCGTAAGACTTTGCCATTTCTTTTTCTCTCCTGTTTTCAAACCGAAAAGAATTGAAGCGTTATCTGAGTTATTGTTACTTCTCAGCTCTCACCCCTCTTATATATTGTATGTAAGCTGGATCAAGGGCTCCCAGATAACCACGACAGAATAGATGGATCAGCAGCATATGATTAATTTTGAACCGCGATGGAAAAAGGCAACTAAGTGGAAAGAGTTTCCAATCCTTTTCAAAAAAATCCTCTCAATGGCATAACTAGACCTGTCAAATAAGCCCAGGATTTGGCCCTAGTCCACATGGGTTGGACCAAAAAAGCCCACAGAACCAAAATGTCCTTTATTAAAAAAGTCCAAATAGCTAAATACTCCAAAGCCCTGTGGGATAGGGACAGTCCATGGGTCTTCCTTTTTACCAAATTTTAAGTAGAGAAAAAAAATTTATGATCGAGAAATAGATACAAAATAGAAAGAAACAAAAATTTTATACAGCAATTGGTAAATACATATATTGTAATATACTTCCTGGAGCTTAGTTTATACTTCCAATGTACGTACTACTAGATCTCAATATGTTATCTGCATCCATTGATATAATATACTCCATGCAAGTTGTTCTTCTGGTCCTTTTGGCAGAGAGAAGAAACTTTCCATTTACAATAAGCAAGGCTGCAGGAACACAAAATTCCATTACGCATATTTATACAACACACTGTAACAGCAACATATTTGTCAACTCAATACTCGTGCTAGCATAGAATACATTTCAACCAATAAAACAAGTAGGATAGGCAAGGCATGAGCTATTCTCTTGTAATTAAAGTCAACATAAGCATAATAGACATGCATCACACACCATTAAAACTTTAGCAAAGCTAACAAGCCAAACACGCAACAAGTTGAAATGATGCTCGGGACAAGGTTGAATTATTTGAATGGATCATATGACCAAAATAAAGTAGAAGTGACATCAGCACCTAACCCTAAGTAACTTGAGCACCAATAGTTATTACTTACTTTCATAAACTTCAATAAAACGACACAATAAGTTTGTAAGTGGGCCACAACAAAGAAATTGACCATCATATTTGAACACTACTATCTAAATTGCATTAACAACAACAGGTTGTGATAAAAAATGAATTTGGAGAAACAATTCCCAACACCACAAGGAAGCTGTAAGATCGAGTTTAAGGTAGCAAAGCTTACATTTCAAAAACAACCACCTCATTCCATCATTTTTCACCAATCCAAACATAGAAATGAACATAACAAGCAATTAAGCTGAACCAAAAATCAAATAAACAAATATAAATTCTACTTTCAAAGGTGACCACGACTCAAATTGATAAAGGAAAAAGTCAACAAATATATCAATACCAGAATTGGATGATAAGCACAAAAATTACACAGTAAAAGCAAATTAAAGAAAGAAAAAAACAAGATGATAAGATAAATTCATATATGTTAGTGTCAACAAAGGAAAGCTTACCAGGATTGGATGGTATGTCAGCTTAGATTTGTCTCTCTTGATGAAACACTGGATGGTTCCATTCCTATGCCTAGGCTACAGACAAGACAAGAGTCAATGAAGCATAAAAATGTAAACTTTGGTCATGGTAAAAATTTCATATCCTTGATACATAAAGAAAATACTTTACACATATTTTAGGCACATGATAGAAGAACAAAAGGTGTACCTACTTCAGGCCAATAGGGAAAATGATCTTCCCACAAAATTCCAGACGGCTAACAATTTCTTTGCACATTTCTCTCCGGGACTTGCACACGGCAGCACATGCAACGACATGCTTACGAGCAGGCCATGTACTCTCATTTGCTTCTATTCTATTAATAACATCGCCAAGGAGCTCAAGGGGAAGGCTAGCCACAACTTACTACAGCCTGTGAAAAAAGAAGACATAAGTGACATGATGCACAAACACAAAAAGAGAGCTTAATCAAAACCCAATTGAAAAATCCATCCATGGAGCATACACAGTCATGAAAGTATACAACTTTAAACATTCAATTTATTAGGGTATTAGAAATGACCCAGATGGATAAATGATGGAGGTAGAAAACCAGAAGCACTAACGGCATTTCAAACAGTGAGTTCAATTGAAATCGAACGTAGCAGAGACATTGAGCATAAATCGTGAAATGGGGGAGAAACAAGATGAAAAAACAATTGAGACACATTGGAATTCGTTGCAATGAATCGAAGAAAGCAGAAATGTAAAATTGGTACCGGTTAGGGAGTAGATCTAGGAGAGGATGGAGCCACGAGATTAGATTGCGTTAAAGATGAACCCACGAGATTAGATTGTGTTAGAGATTGAGTTGGAATCCGTCGGGGAAATTGAGGTTGTTGGTGGGGGTGTTGGGGTTGGTGGTAGTGGCGGTGGTGGTGTCGGTGTGGGGTTTGTTGAGGCCTTTTTCCATGGAATCCACAGATTTGAAGTGAACCCAGGAGGAGGGTGAAGCGATGGTGGAGTTGGTGATGAGGCCAGGGAGAGGGAGGGAGCGGAGGCGTTGGATTTCGGTGCGGTAGCGTTTGCGGAGTTTTTCCATTTTTTGGCGGCACTGGACGACGGTTTTGGCAGTGGGGGAATCGGCGACCTCTTACCCGTGGGTGGCTTTGAGGTTGGTGCGACCGAGGGAGGACCACTTGTCGCGGTAGGCGTCGATGAGGGCGGAGGTTTCCTCCGGGGTTCAGCATGGCGGGAGGAGACGAAGGGTGGGGCGGCGAGACTGAGGGGAGGTCGTCAAATACTCAATGGAGTGGTTGTTCAGAAGAAAATGCATCAAAAATAATGTTTTGGGACTAGAGGGCTAACCCGGCCCTGCTTCATTCACAACCCACTTGGATGGGTTTTGGGGGACCAGGAGCTTTAAAGAAGCCCCCAAGATGTGGGTCAACCAAAAATGGGGCTAAATATAGAAAGGGCCCGGGTTAGCCCTTGGGGCTTGGAAAGAAACTGACAGCTCTAGGCATAATGATGCTTTTTATTAAGGAAGAGAACACATCTCATGGATATCGAGTCCTTCCATTACCACTTCAAAGGATAATTTTACAGTTGTTCCAGAAGATGACCCTTTAGTATTTTGTAGTGAAGATGATCCTGAAAACTGGCATGTTCACGTTGGGCAATGCAAGTTAGTTCTGCGTAAACATTACTTGACTGTTATTCTTTCTGGACTTTGGATATAATTTGTTTTATTGCATTGCTTTCCAACTCCTACAGATCTTCCGCTCCATTGACTCGGGGTCCCTCAATGATTTTCCAAACATGTTGATGTTCCTCTGTCCCAGGTTTATATACTTTCTAAGTGAAACTCTATACTGCATGCTTGCAAATCAAACACTATCCCTCACTTTTTAATTAACATAATTTTGTATGCAGAATCTTTATGTGTGCTAAAATATTTGGTCATAGAAGAAACTGTTCAAACAGCGTAAATTCAAGCGATCAGATCTGCCCAACACTTATTTATATTGAAAACATACTTCAATGGATCATCATATGCATGGCCATAAAGATGCAGGTTAGGCTTAAGTTCTTGGATTTTAAAAGCAGCGTAATTTTCTGTATTTTATGAGTTGGTTTACTCTGTCTGCAGACAAAGGACATCCTGTAAAGTTCGATTCATTGATCTTGATGGGAAAAGAAAAACAAAGTTGAAAGCATAAATGTTGAAATCTATATTTCTTTCACAAGTTGATTAGATAGAGGAAAGAATTGTTGGTTTGATGTAATAATGACAATAATGTCATTATCTTATTTTAATTTAGTCAGGAAGAACTCTCTTCCATCTTCTTCTCTCTTTGTTTTGAGAAAACTTGTTTATTATTTTTCTTAATAATTACTGGTATTATTTATTTTGCTTTAGTAACTATTTGACTTTTTTCTACCCTTGTCCATAAGAGATACTTTCAAAATCCTTGGTTTGTACTTTTGTCAGATATTTTAATATTTTTTTCTGAGTCCTATGAAATTTAAACATTAATAGTTTTTTATTTGCACTTTACGATTTCAAAATCTAAAAAATACTACTACTACTATTATTTTTATAATATAAATTCTTAACCTTCTCTCTTATTAACATTACTAATTTAAGTTTTTATTAATTTTAAGTTAATGTTATTTAGGCTTTTTTCTATTTTTGTCAACCAAGCCTTAAAGATTGAGGTAATTTGTGTTGGATATTAATTAAGATTTTTTTCAATTAGTAGTGCTATTTTCACTCAATGGTGGCCATTATTTTTTATTGGTATCGGAAAAAGAAGATTGTGATGATTGTATGATAGACGGGTCCAAGCCAAATGCCACATTAAGACCCATTATTCGTGGAATGGCCAAGGTCATACAACAAGCCCTTGAAGATCTATCTCAAGAAGGGTAAGTACTCTTTGGACACTTCAAGTGGGAGTCAGAAGCCCAACAAGAAAAATAGAACAATCCATACCAACCCATGGAAAGGGATAAATTTGGAGAAATCTCAATCGGGTGGCGCTGGGCGCCAACCCTCCACCGCTCAGCGACAACGGACCTCTTTTTCAGCATGTTTTCTTGGCCAAAGCCAGTACATGTTCAACACTACTCCACGTGTCCTATAATCCATGAAATAAGGCTGATGATCAAAATTGTAAATCTGGTGCACAAAGGGGTGAATCATCTATAAATTCACCCATCTTACTTTGTTGAAATCACTTTTAGAATTAATAGAAATGTTTCAGATGTGTAAGGATGTGTCGTTCGGTATCTCCACGTCCTCCTCTTCTCCTACTCCGTATATCTTGTCTTCTGTACTCGATCCTAAACTTTCTTCCCAGTCCTAGGGTGGGAGACCTGCAAAAGATTCTCCGATACTAAAGTCAGTTGAGAGCAATAGCTTTCCTCTATCGAATAGCAATAAATGTGCAGTAAATGCAGCCTATCTACCACTCACCCTGGATCTGTATTTATAGTTTTCGCTATGGGCTTGGGATTAGTGAAAAGTTAATCACGGCCCAAGTCAGTCCAATAGCTTTTAAACCCCTACTTACCTTAAGCTAAGTTGATTAGTAACGCGGGCGGCCGTCCTAGCGGGTTTTTATCCTCATGACCGGCCGCCCTTGACGGGTCCCCGGCCTGGCCGGTCGACTTCGGGCGAGTTGTTTTTTCCCCTAGTGTCAAGCGGTAAGGTTGCATGATTATGGGCATATGGGCGTCCGGCCCACCATGCCCAACCCTTCCCAACAGTAAGAAGAAGGGTGGTTTCCTGGGCCCCATACGGTGACGTGGGCGTCCGGTCCGTTTGGTGGTCCAATGACGTGGGTGTCCGTCCGTACGGCGCCCGGTCCCTGCTGGTACATCATACATTTTGATGTGGCCCTCAGGATCGGTGGTCCCATCATACATTTTGAATTGCGGTGCAATAAACTGTTCAGAGATCTGAACGTCCATTATGTTTTGGGCGAAGGGGAGTAATAGCGTGAAGGAAGGCTCCGGCTTGACCACCATCCGCCTATCCTCGGCCGCGCTCTCCGCATGCACTGACTTGGCCTTACTACCTTCGGCCTGTGTACCAGTCGGCCTCCAGGTCTCATCGCGTCCAGTATTCTGTTTCGAACGTTCCTCTGCGGCGGCCTTCCCCTTCTCCTTCGCCCGCTTGTCCCCGTCCTTCCCGGCAATCTCCCGGCTTATCCGAGCTTCACAGTCGGCCTTTACCGCCGCCAGCTCATCTTCATGACGTTGTTACATCTCATCCATCTTTTGTTGTAGAACTCGAATCATCTCAATCGGGTCGTCCATGCTCATATTTCTCGTGGTCACCATTGGGTTTTTAAAATCTCACGGTCCCACGGTGGGCGCCAAATGTTTCGGATGTGTAGGGTTGTGTCGTTCGGTATCTCCACGTCCTCCTCTTCTCTTACTCCGTATATCTTGTCCTCTGTACTCGATCCTCAACTTCCTTCCCAGTCCTAGGGTGGGAGACCTGCAAAAGATTCTCCGATGCTAAAGTCAGTTAAGAGCAATAGCTTTCCTCTATCGAATAACAATAAATGTGCACTAAATGCAGCCTATCTACCATTCACCCTGGATCTGTATTTATAGTTTTAGCTATGGGCTTGGGATTAGTGAAAAGTTAATCATGACCCAAGTCAGCCCAATAGCTTTTAAACCCCTACTTACCTTAAGCTAAGTTGATTAGTAACGCGGGCGGCCGTCCTCGCAGGTTTTTATCCTCATGACTGACCGCCCTTGACGGGTCCCCGGCCTGGCCGGCCGACTTCGGGCGAGTTGTTTTTTCCCTTAGTGTAAAGCGGTAAGGTTGCATGATTATGGGCATACGAGCGTCCGGCCCACCATGCCCAACCCTTCCCAACAGTAAGAAGAAGGGTGGTTTCCTGGGTCCCATACGGTGACGTGGGCGTCCGGTCCGTTTGGTGGTCCAATGACGTGGGTGTTCGTCCGTACCGCGCCCGGTCCCTACTGGTACAGAAGAATTATGCTTACTTTGTAGAAATCACTTTTGGAATTAATAGAAGAATTATGCTGAAGCTCTTAAGCCAACCTTTCTCTACATCCGAAAGTCACTCTCATTGCTTCCTCGCCCACCCTTATAGCTTCCTCTCATAGATGGTAGGCCGCCTGAGCTAGAGCTACACCATAGAAGCATTTCCTCCCTCCTAAACAATCACCAACTTCCATTAAATTTCGTTGCCAGAGTTTGTTACTGTCTTCCACTGTGCCATCGTGTTGTTCACTGATTAACCATGCCTTTGGATGAAGATATCAAATGGTATCAAAGCCAAGTTACAAGTGTCTTCGAGAGCTATGTCTAGTTGTTTTTTTTAGTCTTCAATGTCATCCATTTCACTTTTCTGTTTTGGCCTCTTATGTGCACTATTTCATTGATGCTACCATCATTGGATGCTGGTTTTTAGGTTCTGTTGAGTCTATTTTTGTGTCCAGCCTTGTGTTGATTTGTTGGTATTATCATTTTAATCGGACCATTTCAATGTTTGTCATTTTGTTTATGAAATCTTGTTTTGTTATGTTCAAAGTCATGTGTATTCTTATTTTAGTGCATTATTTTCATTGTCATCAAAATATGAGTTTAATTAATTGAATTTTTATTTTGTAACTCAAAATTTGTCAATTATCATGAGCTATGAAATTCGTGTGAATGAGCTTGATGACAGATATACAATCAGTTTTGAGTATACTATCAACTACCTTTCAACTGTTTGAACATTAGATATTGTCAAATCATTTGCAAGTTAGGTGGAAATCAAATTTCAGTGAATTATGAGTTGTTTATGTTTGTCAAGAGAAATTACATACCATATAAGCAATGAAATGCTTAGGCATAGCTTGGATGCATTTGAGAAAACTCAAGTAGAAATTCAAAAGTGTAGTTGACCGATCTGCACATTCTTTGCTTGAGTCCTTTTTATGTTTTTAAATCTAGTTTTAGCACCTAGATCATTGTTAACCATTTATTACACTGTTCTGCCACTTCGAGCAACTTTTAATTATTGTTTTGGAGTCAAGTAAACTGTAAAAAGCCTATTTGAAACTCTATGCTTAAATTTGGATACTAGAGTTGTTTGTTTTGGATGCATAAGGCATTGACCAAGTCCAACTGTGAAGTAATGTGAATCTGAATTGAAAAGATGCTCAAACAAGTTTGTTTTCATAAAATAAACATGTTCATACATAATTAACTTGATCTTGTACGGTCCTATGCATTTTGACTACTTAACTCATCCATTTTAGGTAAATGTTTTGGTCAAAAACAAGTGCTGCAGCAAATTTTTCATGAAAATGATTTATGCATTGATCTTTGACTAAAGGTTGTAGCAAAAGCTTGGTTCAATATAAAAGAATTGATATATTCAAAAGATTCTAGAATGAAATTAAGAAGCTAATTGGACTAGTGCAACCATTTTCGAAATCTGAGAAATCAAAATCCAAATTCTGAA